AATCATTCTGACGTCTGGTTTGATATTTTCTTTGATACTTTTGAGAGAATGTTCGCCAATTAAGTTTGTTTCCTGTGACAATCTCAATATATTACAATTCTTTCTCATCGTATACATGATAAAAAGTTTCTTTCGTACCGAGAATGCCATGCATCACAAATGCTGTTTTTGTTGGCTCCACGTCACCATTCGAAGCTTCAAATACACGATACGACAGCGTACTCTTTTCTCGTCGACCTATGAATCTACACATGAAATAACATTTGATAATAAGTGGCAGTTCTCAATTTTTCGTATACTAATGTGAGCATACTTTTGAGTAGCGACTCCACAGCGAACTATACACGTAACAAAGTGCCTAGAAAGATGCATTGATTATACAAGTGAAGTAATTCTCAAAGCACAAGACTCATTTTCAATAAAATTAATTTCAAGAGAAATTTCAGTTTCATTGACAATTTTTCGAATTAAAGAGATACTCTAAATGATCCCTTGAAACGTCGTATGGTTATTCTCATCTCTGTGCTTCATTTGCTACTCCACGTGTATATTTCTAGTGCACAATCAGCTCCTCAATTACCACATCAATTCCAAGCTGAGGTGCATGTATTATCGCATCTTACGAATCCTCGTCAGGAGTATCCGACATCAATAAAAAGGATGAAGATTCAATTCGACTTGATACATCAAGTCGCAAGGGCAGAAATATTAGAAGGAGATGATACAGGAAAGACATTTGTGCGGCGATATGACGAGGTAATGATCAAAAGCAACGATATGTTGGTTACAATTCATTGTATTGACTTTGTTGTGACAAGAAAAGAGAAATTATGGTCAAGGGTGGAGAATTTCGCAAGTGTGAACGTGCTTATCTTGGTGATGCTATGCCAGAACCAAGAATTCCTTTTATTCAAAAGTTTGTGGTCAGTCAAGCAGCTAAGCAATCAAATTAAAGTCTCAGCTGATGATTTTGTTTATAGGCTATGGAAAGTTTGAGAGGTAAAGTGTGTGAGCATTGGATACACTCGCATGACAACGTTCGAGTTCATGTGTTTAAAGACGTTGCATTAAACGGTACGTTTGCTTTACAATGTGTTCAATCGATTCACATCTCAAGATTAAATAAATTTTTCATTCGCTCAGTTCCCATCCGCTTGACTGAAGAAATAATCATGGACAAACAGGCAACAATGCTCCTAACTTTTGATCTTTACAATGTGCATGTGGGACCACAACAATTGTCTGACTTTGCAATTCCAGACGGATATACATGGAATGATTGCGTTCACAAGCACG